GACCAAGATGACCAAAGCAAGAGGCAGGACACTCATGGCAAGAAGGCCCCACATCTGCAGAGGGGGAAGTGAGGCAGAGAGCAGTACTGTGTGGGTTCAGGTCACTCTTAGGAACAATGGGAAGCCTGGAGAGGCTTCCAGCCAGGCAGCTCACAGCCCCTCTGAGGGCTTCTAGGCAAGGGAGGGGACCGGGACCTGATCCTGTCATTGGCAGGAATAGAGGCAGCTGCCTGCGGAAGCCCGCACTGTGGTCTCTGTGAATCTCCTGCAGGCAGACCCAAGCCAAACCAGGTCCCAGAGGCTGGGCGGGGTCCATGCAGAGAGACTGAGCAGCTCTGGTTTGCTCAGGATGTTCCTGGTTTCTGCACAGAGCATCCGGTATCCAGGAACTCCCTGGCCCCACATAACCTGGGTCAACTGGTTACTGTGTTCCCAGGGAAGGTACAGAGAGGTGATCCTCTCTTCTCATCTATCAGGCCTACCCTGAAAGGGATGAAGGTCCCAGGGAAAAAGGGGTAGAACAAACCCGGGGGCAGGAGCAAGGCCCTGGCTAATGCCAAGCTACCTTCCTCATCTGACATTTTACTTGGTCCTTCACTGTATTGAGACCAAGACACAGAAGGTCCTACCTAAGCCCTGGGACTCAGGATCCCTGCACTTTGGACTGTCGTCCCTGACATTTTCTAAGTGCCCTCCAGTACCTGAACACAGCCAGGGCTACCAGGCTGTTCTTCTCAGGGCCTAAGTCCTCAGAGTGGGGCCTGGGCTCAGTTTGTGGGGGCTGCCATAGCAAACTGGCACTGTCTGGGCACTAAGAACAACAGACATGGATTGTCACACAGTTTGAGAGGCTGGAAGCAAACTAGAGGTGTAGGCAGGTCCTTCTGAAGGCTCTAGAGAAGGAGTAGCCCCAGCCTCAGCACTGTCTTCCGGTGGCTTCAGACATCCTAGAAAGTCGGTAACCATCTTCTCCCTGTGACTCTTACACTGTCTTCCTTCTGTGTCCAAGCCTCCCCACTCCACAGTCCACTCCCATGACCTCAGCTTAACTTAATCATCTGCAAGTACCCTATGTCAAGCAAGTTCACAGTCACTGATGCTCAGCTTCAACATCCTTTGTAGGGGACACAGTTTGGGATGGTTAATTTTATATGCCATCTTAACTGGGCCCTGGAGTGTCCAGGCACTTGATCAAACATTACACTGGGTGTGCTGTGAGGGTCTTATTGGATGGAACCCATGTTTGAACTGATGGACTGAGAAAAGCAGATTGCCTTCCCTACTGTGGATGGGCCTCACCCAATCAGCTGAAGGCCTGAGTAGATCAAGAAGGCTGACCCTCCATTGAGCAGGAGGGAAATTTTCCTGCCTGGTAGTCTCATGCTGGGGCTTAAGTCTTTTCTAGCCCTTGGACTGGAAACCTACACCATCAACTCTCCTGGGCCCTAAGCCTTCAGACTTGGATTAGGCCCCATGCTGACTCTCTTGAGTCTCCAGTTTGCAGTCCTAAGCCTAGAATAGGGTTGGGGTTCAGTGTGGGGAGATTTGAACATGACCCGGACTTAATTCTCCCTTTCCAGTTGACAGAACCAAGGCTGGCACAAGGAGATACTCAGCCCAGGTCCGTGGAGAACAGGTTGGGCTAAGCGTCAGCCTCCTGCTTCAGAGAGCTCCCCTGACACCATCCATGAGGAGCTTTGGGAACAGGACATCTCTGTGCCCTGCAGCCCAGAACCCCGGTCATCACAGGACAAGGCTGAGAAAAGAGAGCACCAGACATGTCTGCTGTGTGCGCCTATGTCCTTCCAAAGGGATTCGAATGTGTTTTAAATAAATGGCATTTTTTTTCCTACCGAACACATCTCTGTCTGAATAAGGGAAGTCAATGAACAGGTTAGATTTGTTCTACAGGAATTGCATGTTCAGCCAACTGCACCAAACAGCAGCTGAAGCAGGATGGCTTTGTCATGGCTCTTCACACTGCTGCCCTCTGTGTCTCAGAATTGTCCAGGGCTGGAACCCTCCCCTGCTCCCCACTCCTCCTCTTCCTTCTCTATCCACTCCGCCACATCTCCCTCTCTTCTCTCACTTGCCAACTGGCTTTCCCAATTTCTGAACCGCAAGAGGGGAAATGCAGCTCCTGGCTGCTCTCTAGTTTGTAACACACAATTGACACCACAGCTCTGCCTCTGTCTCTGCCCTGTTCCTCTCCTGGCTCCTCCAGAAGGAGCCGGTGGATCTGCCTGCTGTCGTGTCTGCCATGTTAACCAGCCGAGGGGCAAAGAGACCTCTCTCCTTTCCCAAGGAAGGCTGGGAGTCAGTGTATGGAGAGCATGCAGCCCATCATGAGGAGGTCCACAACTCAGGGACCTCAAAAGAAACATCCAGGAAAAAGCAGAATGTGGATAAAGATTTACAAAAGTGAGACAACATTTCAGTGCTACCAAAGAGTAGAAGGCAGTAGGGTGGGGGCAGAGGGAGAATGGTGTGTGTGGTGACAACAGAGCTGCAAATTGTGAGTGGGTTAGCAGAGAAAAGACCAGGATGAACAAAAACAAATTTCATCTCAGGCTTGATCCCACCAGCAACTCCCCTCTGTGACCCTGGGCATGCCTCTTCTCTCTGAGCCTCAGCTTCTCCACCTGAACAACAGCATGTAGGACTAGACAATTTCTGAGAGTCCTGGAACATGTCAAGAATAGACTTGGATTAGATTTTTAAAGAAAAACATGGGTTCATCCAACCAATATTTCTGAGGCCCTGATGTGGGTCAGGCATTGTTCTCACTAGCAGGGACACAGCAGTGAACAAAGCAGACGAAACGTTCTTCCCTCCAGAGATTGTCACTTGCAATAAAAGCCACCAGCCTTGAGACAGCTGAGAAAAGACAAATGCTCCTCTACATCTTCAAGTGATATTTTCATTGGTGATGAGAAGCAAGGCGAGATTCCTTGTTCATCAGATTCTCGCACTAATGAGAATATCCAAGGTAATGGAGCAATTGTAATTAGGCCAGGAGCTGAGCAGACTCATAATCACCATAAGTAAGAATGGGGTTTACCTAACCTTCCCACTAAATCCCGGAGAGGGGAGGGATGGGGAAAGAGGCCAAGTGGGGGCAGCCTCCCTCCCAGGCAGCAGCTACTCCAAGGTGACCAAGACGACCCCACCTCGTGGACTAGCTGGTCAAGGTGAAGTTCAAGAAGGAAGTGTCCTGATAGAAGGCAGCTGTCAGAGGAAGCAAAGCTGAACTCTGTGGTCAGAGGGTTGGCATGATGCACTGGGGCTCCCTCATTTCCCATGATGAGCATCTATTACTTGGAGGAAATCAGGACACGGGTAAGGCCCAGGGAGCTTCTCGCTCCCACGCTATTCCCACTCTAAGCTATGGCCAGGGCCCCATAGGAACAATGGCCCTGCAGGAAATTAAAGGATGTGCCAAGCTCCGATCCATCTAGTCTGGGATATCTTCACCCTTGTCACTTGTGGAACATTAGATGTGCTGACAAGAGGATGCCAAACTAGATCCAACCCATGTGAGTCCACGCTGGGCTCGGCCACCTACCAACTGGAGGACCCAGGCAAGCCACGGGCACCCATGGCAAATGGAGCCAGTGGTGACCACCTGGAGGAAAGCATTCAGAAAGGTAGTAATGCTAATCTTCTGGCTCCTGCTGAGCTCCTGCCAAGCTCCCTGCCAAACACATGCTGCTGAGAGGGGAACTGTTTCCTTCATTAAATGCAACCCAGGTTGGGAATCAGGGAGGGGCCTTGGCCATGTAATAAGTCACTCCCATGCTGTGTTCCAACCCCTGATCTACACTGAGCCCTTTCCATGGCAGCAGCTTCTGCAAATTGAGGGCATCGACTGACATCAACTGAAAGAGCGCAGGCAGAGGCAGGGCGTAGGCAGGAAAATGTTGACTCCAGTCCTCCTTTGTGAGATCTGCCCCTGGCTAGCTGGCTGACCCTGGGCATGTTCTCAGCCTCTTCTGCCCTACTCTCCTCCCCACAGCCTGGAGGACACATGGTCACTGGTCAGGCAGGGTCTTGGCAAGAAACAAGTGGCCTACTCAAAAGAGCACTGTGAAAACAGAATGAAGGTGCAAGAGGGGTTGAGGGAAATGCCAAGAAATGGTAAGCATGATGCTATCACCACACTTAGGCCTTAGAGTGGGGATGGAGGTAGGGGAGGAACTGTTGCTCTGAGAACCAGTGAGGGTTGTGGCTGAGACACAAATCATGACTGAAAGTCAATGATGCAAACTACAGCCCAGTAAGGAGGAACTAGAAAGAAAACATCCATAGTGCTCTCCTCTCGCTGCCAGACCTCTTGCAGGGGCCTCCTGTAAGCCAAGCCATATGGAGAGCTGTATGCCCAGCTCCAGGGAATAGAGCAGGGCAGCCAACAGAGTGAGGACAAATGAAGACTACCCAGCCTTGGTAAGCTGTGCAGTGCCCTCCAGTATGTTCACATCCTCATCCCCAGAACCTGCTGTCACTGATGAAATATTCCACACAAATCAGCTTAAAGGAAAGGTTTATCTGGGCTCAATTTCAAAGGTTTCATCCCATGATCACTTGATTCCATTGTTTCTAGGCCTGTGGTAAGGCAGAAACATCATGATGGAAAGGCTGGGTGGAGGAAATGTCCTCAATTCATGGTAGCCAGGAAGTAGACTGAGAAGGAAATAGCCTAAGACAACCCTTCAAAGTCATGCCCTGGTGACCTAATTCCCCCAACTAGACCTGGCCTCCCAACATCCCATTCAGCCATGAGTTCATCAGTGGGTTGGTTCACTGATGAGGTTAGCCTTTCACCATGGCAAAGGCACTTCGCAGCCATGATCAAATCAAGGGTCTTGAGTTGAGAGATTATGCTGGACTGTGCAGGTGGACCCAAAATAGTCTCAAGGCTCCATATAAGGCGGGGGCGTGGATCAGAGGCACACAGGAGTGATGTAATAATGGAAGCTGAGGGACACAGCCAGACTGGAAGATGCTACCCTGCTGGTTTTGAAGATAGAGGAGGCATCAGGAGCAAGAAGAGGCAAGAAAACAGATTCCTCCTTGGTAGGGCTGGAGAAAGAATGGCCCTTACCATTCCACTGAGGACTTCTGACCTCCAGAGGAAGAGGAAAAATTGTGCTGTTTTAAGTCATTAAGTTTGGGTGATTTGCTCCAGCAGCCACAGGAAACTAATATATCTGCAGGAGACAGGGATCTCAAGGTCGCTGGCCTTGGGGCCTTGCCAGCTCCAAGTAGGAGACAGGTCAGAGAGCTGGCTCACACCTGGGAGCACCACTGACTCCCAGGGGGAGGGACCAGAGTAGAGGGCTCTGCAGAACCCACATGAGTTTCCCTCATGCTGGCCTCTCTCAGTGTTCCCAAACAAAGCCCAGGTTCCAAGTTGCTCCCCAGTCAAATTCTTACATGTTCCCCCTCCTTTTCCTTTTAAGAATGCTTCCTGCCCATGCATGGACCTGCCAGCGAGTGAGGGAGGCAACAGAGTGCAGTGCAAAAGCCCAAAGATCTGGAAACCTGAATGTCAACCCGGATCTGCTTCAGGTTTGAAATGGGATCTAGCAAGTTACTGCCACTCCCTGAGCCTCAGTTTCCCTGTCTGTAAAAAGGGACCAGACTGGGTTGTCTCTTCTGAGGTCCTAGACTACTGTCCATCTCCTTCCAAGGTTCTAAGCACCTCTGTCATGGTCACCGGCCTGCCTGAACTTCTGGCTCTTGCAGGATTTGGGTGGTCAGGGTGGTGGAAAACCTGCACGTCCAGAACCCTGGTTCCTAGTCCCTGTACTGCAGTCTGCTTGTTCTCTGCTGTCCCCTGTGAGCCTCTCAAAGACAGCTTTCAGCTACATGTGCAGGAAAGGAGCCCTTTAGAGAGGACCCCTGTGTAGGCCTGGCCAGCCTACACAGGGGTTAGTTTTCTGGGCTAGTTTTCAGGGCACAGAAGAAAACCATGAGGCTACCTGCATCTCTCCCCGCTTCTGCATCCCACCTCTGCTGCACACGAGACAGGCTGTGAGATGAAGCAGCTTCTGAAAAGTGGCTCTATTGTCCCATTCTCTGCCAGTAAATGAAAGTGACAGTGGGACAAGGGACCCCTGCAGGTCAAGGGTACCTCCAAACACATTCTACAGCTGTCCTGGCCTCCTCTTCTCTCATGTGCCTGCAAATGTCCTGAGGCATCAGAAGGGGAGATGCTCAAATAGTTGGGGTCAGACAGGACTCTGAAGGCTCCTAGGTACAACTGATTATCAGTCTGCCTAGAGGATCTGTGGACTACATAAGGACAGATGATACAGGACCTACACTGTCCCCGAGGAAAACAACACCAGTGGGAACCCAGAAGTGGACACACAGAAATGGACAGGGCAGGTCCTAGGAAGTCAGGAGAACAGCATTCCTGGCCTTCAGATAATGTGCCTTGCCTGGCCCGTCATCTGCTCTGAGCCACACCAGAGGCCCTGGCAGCCCACACACCAGGCTGTTCTCCCAGGGCAGTCAGCCAGACCATGGCAGGCAGCAGTCCCCAGGGTGTCCTCCCTCACCGCTCACCTTCCAGGGCTCAGGACCCTCCTCCCTGGCCGCCCCCCCCTTTCCTCTGACAGCCCCCAAACCCTCTTCCTCCTACTTAGTTCCTTCATGATAGTCCTGGACACTGATCCTGGGTCAACACAAAGAACTCCCTTGCCTCCAGGCTGGGGGTGGGGGCTTAAAAGTGAAACATCTAGCAAGGGAAAAGAAGGGAAGACTGAAAGAAAAAAATTAAGCCACTCCATGTGGGAATACACACTGCTTCTCCTGATGCCAACAGTGTCCTATTCTGGTGGCCCAAGGGTCAAGAAATTGGAACCACAGAAGAAGAAATGTAATCAAAGTCCCGCTGGCTCTGCAAGGAAAAAAGACTTAACCCTCTTCCTTACTTAGTTCCTTCATGATAGTCCTGGACACTGATCCTGGGTCAACACAAAGAACTCCCTTGCCTCCAGGCTGGGGGTGGGGGCTTAAAAGTGAAACATCTAGCAAGGGAAAAGAAGGGAAGACTGAAAGAAAAAAATTAAGCCACTCCATGTGGGAATACACACTGCTTCTCCTGATGCCAACAGTGTCCTATTCTGGTGGCCCAAGGGTCAAGAAATTGGAACCACAGAAGAAGAAATGTAATCAAAGTCCCGCTGGCTCTGCAAGGAAAAAAGACTTACAAGGCCATAATCATGGAAATGATGTTTATTGATTTTCAAATTTTAGAGCCAGCCAATAGGCAGAGCACAGGAGACTTTACTGTGGTTACAGAGCACAAGGTAGATGTCGACACCCAGGATAATGAAAAAGCAAAGTACGCAGGACACTTAGGGGGCAGGAGGTGGTGGAGAGATAGGACAGAAGGTGCGGGAAAGGTTCACAGCAGGCTTCTCCCATCCTACACAGAAGGAGGCACCACGTGGACTAAAGTCAGTAAAATTAAGGGCAGTTCTAGCTGCTGTGTATAAAGTTTTTAAAAAACCAAGATAACTAAGAGAGAACCCAAAAATATAACTACCTGAGATGGAGAGAGAGTAGGGAAAGATGTTTCAAAGTATGCGATCCTCACCTCTCATTGACACGGGGTAAAATGATGCAGGGAAGGGCGGTGATGTCAACGCACAGAAAACTACCAGAAGAATAGAGCATGAAAACCACTACATCTGCGCTGATGAGTGGGATGGGAGGAGGCGAGGAAACCTCACTTTTACTCATAAGCTCTTCTGCGTTCTTTTGCTTTCTGTTTATTGGGTTGTTGTTTTCTTAACCATAGACTTATGGCTTTGATTTTAACCTAGGGAAGGGCGGTGCTGGGGATGAAACTTGCGCCTGCTAAGCACACATTCTACCACTGAGATGCATCTCCAGCCCTCAAAAATTAAATTGAAAGAAAAAAAACCCTCTCGCTTAAACCAGAAATGACCAGGCTGTCCTCTCACCGGCAGGCCCCCACCTGTGCGGCGGACAGGCCGGGACTGGAGTGCCGCGCACCCCCTAACTCAGCATGCTCCGGCAGCGTAGCCGCTCCTCCTCCTCCTTCTCCTCCATTCGGGTCTCCAGCAGCCGCAGCTCCCGCCGCACGGCTTTGCGCATGGACGGCTCCAGCTCCAGCACCTTCTCCAGGTCCGCCTTGGCCTCGGCCTCGTTCCACACCTCGGCGTGCGCCCGGGCGCGTACGTAATAAGCCTTCACGATCCCTGCAGGGAGGTCGAGCTGCACCCACCTGGCTCGCCCCGGAGGCTGGGACTCACCGGCTTACACAACCCCATCCTGCCCTCCGTCCTCAGCCTCTCTGAGCCTCCTCTGCCTCAGCTTCCTTGACTATAAAATAGAGATGATGATGGTAATGATGATAATAATAATAGCAGCATCTGCTCCCTTCTCTGGCGTGGCCCCGCCCAAGCCCCTGTAACTACTTTTATGCTCAGAACTTCCCATTCTTTTTCTTCTAGAAGCTCTCAGGTTGTAGAACCTTCGAGCCCCGCACCTACCCCTACACTGACTAGGAGGATCGTGAGGAGGACGTGAAATAATAGAGGCAGGGGCTTAGTGCCTGGAGCCGAAGTGTTTGGTGCTATTGTTAACACTATTCCAGTACCTTCTTCACGAGCATCGCCTGTCCCCGTACCCCTCTACCGGCACGGACTTGACTTTTTCTCTGGATTGACTGCCTCCTTCCTTAAAAGCCTGATTCCTACACCACACAATCCCGAGCGTGGGGAGCTGCTGCTACATGTATCCAAACGCATGTTTTCAGCAAGGCCTCTCACAGTCAGTACTGCCCGCCCACCCCCACCTGCCACCCAGCATAGGGCTGCCACTTTGGGGGAGCCCTGCAGGCTGGAGCCGAGACCTGGCGCCCCCACAGAGCGGGAAGGACGTCCACGGAAGCCTTCGCAGGTAACCTCGCGGCCCTGGGCCCCTCCACGCCAGCCAGACACACGCACCTGGGTGGTGGCGGAGGATGTCGCTGGTGTGCTCCAGCACCTCGTAGAACTCCCCCTTCTTCAGCAGGCACTGGCAGTAGTTGAGGGTCAAGGTGTTGATCATCTTCTCCAGCTTCAGCCACTGCACCTCCCAGGGCTTCTCCTGCAGGAGGAGCAGAGAATGAGCCACGAGCTCAGGCCGCTCCCCACCCGACCCATGGGCCCCAGAGGCACCGGGCAGCCCCCACCTTGGTCTGCAGGTTCCGCAAGCAGACGATGGCTTCCTGGTACTTGGAGGAGGCCTCGTCGTAGCGGCCCAGCTTGAAGAGGCGGTTGCCCTCTCCGTGCAGGACCGGCACGGCCTGCATCTTCTCCTCAGTGTTCAGGATCCACGTGTCCCGCTGGTACTCGCTGGGGGCCTCGACCTGGCCCGGGAGCTGCCAGTCAGTGAGGCGGGGACCCGGGGCCCATGCCCCAGCAGGAAGCCCACAAGGCCAGCTGAAGTCAGCTCTGCATCGCCCACAGCGAGGCTCACCCCCATGGCCACGTCTGCCGGTCAGACACCGAGGAGCAGGGGAGGGGGGCTACCAGGATGGGGCACCTGTGCTAAACTGGCACTTTGTGCAAAATAGGAAAAAGTTCCAACGTTCAGAAAATTGTCATGAATATTCATTCCCTTAGAACAAGACACGTTATTGCCTCCAGTTGGAAACTTGTCATTATAAAAATACTAATATGCATTGTCTGCAATGAACCCCTAGAGCAGATGCCCTCGTGCAGTGCACACATCAAACAACTGTGCACTCAGGCCGTAACACATCTTGTCTGACACATTCTGGTTTTTTTCTTTGGATTTGTCCATGTAGTCCTTGGGCTGAGCTTCAGCTTAGGACATATACTGAGTCCCGACCTGGCCTTGACTTTGACTCTGACTCTGACCAGTGCCTGTCACCCCACAACATGGGATGCTAACCTCTCTGGGAGCTTGGTGAGGAGAGGCTGTGGGCAACTCAGTGCAGTACGCCCTGCTGTTCCAGGACCACCTCTGAACTCACAAATCACAAGGGTCTGGGAGGAGGTTAGGATGCTACACTTGAAAACGAAAATGAAAGTTGAGAACTAATAGAGGAAAAAGGCTTCCAAAATAAAAATGAATCACATTTTTAATGTAATGCAAATATATACTATTAATAAAAATTAGCTAAAGCAAATAAATAACTTGCAAGCACAAGGTCCTGAGTTCAATCCCTGGTACCAAAATAAATAAATAAGCAGGCCAGGGATTTAGCTCAGTGGCACCATGCCTGCCTCGCAAGTGCAAGGTCCTGAGTTCGATCCCCAGTACCGGAATAAATAAATAAGATATTGGTTTCCAATAGCCTTTTGCCTTGGAAAGTGGGCTATTTTTCCCCAAGATTCCAGTTCTCCTGTGGTTCTTAAATGTATTTGTCACTAGTACTGGAGATTGAATCCAGAGCCTTTGTACTGAGTTACATCCCCAGTCCTTTTTTATTTACTTATTTATTTTTAAATTTTGAAATAAGGTCTTGCTAAGTTCTCCAGGCAGGACTCAAACTTGTAGTCCTCCTGCCTCAGCCTCTCAGAAGGCTGGGATCACAGGAATATGCCACTACAGCTAGCTCTTGAATGTTGTCTTGTTCTCTGTAAACTGGGCTGCATCCAGCCAGGTGTGGTGGCGCACTCCTGTGATCCCAGCACTCAGGAGGCTGAGGCAGGAGGATCGCTGTGAGTTCGAGACCACCCTAGGCTACATAGTGAGTTCCAGGTCAGTCTCAACTACATAGTGAGACCCTGTCTCAAAAAACAAAAAAAAACAGGGCTGCATCCTGAGGCAAGTAGGGCTGGGTCCCCCATCCTGCTCTCTGTCCTCATCCTCTCTGACTCTAGAGCAGCCCTGCCCTCTCGGTCCCCAGGTCCTACCTGAAGCAATTCAATCACAAAGATCAGGGGCTGCGGTTCCTTCTGCAGCTCATCCAGGTCCTCATAGCCCAGTGTGTGGTAGGCGAACATGTTGGCCAGACCACAGGTGTGCAGATGCCAGTCAGTGGGGTCTTTGCCCTCAGCCACCTGCCGCAGGCTCCTGGACAAGATGGGGTAGACGCCTGTGTGCTGTGGGAAAGACAGGGAGTGGCATCTGTGGTCTGCTCAGGGCTGGCTGGGCCACAAAGACCCCGACTCTGCTTCCCCACAGTGGAATCCTGCTGCCCCCCTGCTCCATTCACCAGTAACTACTGAGGGCAACTGTGCACCCACCAGCTCCTTCAGTCCCTATGGCAACCAGTGCAGGAGACACTCATATCTCCCCATTTCAGATTTGGGGACCGAGAGAAGTTAAGCAACTTCTGCAAGACCACAGAGCCAGCCAGTGAGAGAGTCCACGACAGAGGCCAGGCCTCTAGCGTCACATTGCCTCCTGCTGGCCCCTGCCCAATCCCTAGGAGCCCTGAGCTCCACAAGCCTGCGATTCACAGAGAAGCCAGTGAGCAGAGTCTCAACCCCAAGAGAGCCCATTCTGCGGCCTGGCAGTGCTCCTATGTGGCGATGAACCCAGGTCATCACACCCCCACAGCCCTTCTTCTCTTGGTGGCCCTGTCTGGTGTTAGGGTTGTCACGGGGACTAACAGGAATGGTCCAACTACCCAGGCGAGGCTCACTGCAGCTGAGAGCTGGAGCTGCCAACCTCCTTCACCTTGAGGAGGCTGGGAAAAATCCGCCTCTGCAAGACCTGAACCTTGCTATGCCTCAGCTTCTCCACTCTGGCATCTCAGTGCCCATGTCCTGGACAGGACTGTGAGCTGGCCCAGCTCCGGCTCCCATGCCCAGCCAGTGAGGCACAGTGCTGGGAAGGCAGGGAGTAGAAGCATGGGGATGGAGGTCACCTTCCCACCCCACCCCACCCCCGCCTGCTGGGATTAGCCCAGATGCCCTCTGCTGCTCTGTGAGAGGGTGACCAGATGGCAGCTGAGCCTATCGGGGTCAAGGATGGGCTAAGGGGGGCAGAGTGGGGGAATCTGCCATGAGGAGGGCCACTCCTGGCCCTGACTCAGCAGCCCAGCAAGTGCAATGGGAGCTGGGGACCCAGGCCAGGCGTCTGCGTGTGCACAGCTTCAGAGGCTTTATTCCACCAGACACCTGCCACCCTGGCAGTTTCAGGGCCGCTGGTTAGCACCTGTGGGCTGAGGGATGCCACTAGAGGCCAGAAGGAATAGAATGGAGAATCTAACATCTCTAGGGGCAGCTCCTTGATGTCAGGAAGGAAGATGCCAATCTCTGCGCTGTGCTGCCTTTGAGACACAGCTTGCCGGGCTGCAGGCCACATGGGCAGCCACAGTCACCCATGGGGCTCTGGTAGACCAGGCTCTTGCCCTTGGAACTCATTCAGCCCACAAGGGCTGCAACTGGCATAGGAGGAGTCAGCATCACTGTCCCCCTCTGGGGCTTCCATGCCAGAGCCTGGCTCTGTCCAGTGGTCTGTAGTAGAGGCTATGAACTGGAGTGGGTGGGAGAGGCCATATCCAACTCGAAGACCAGCTTTATTTTATCCTTCATGGTATGGGCTGTTTTTCTATTTGTTTTTTAAATGGGTTGGCAATGTTTAAACATTGGGAGAGTTCAAGTTCGCCTGCCAATGCATATATCTGGCTTGTCTCCAGAAAGGACTGTCCCGCCACACTGGACCCTGACCCTTGCATGTTGCAATTATCCAGAGGGAGCTGACAGCTGCCCCAACCTTAGCAGGGGCTAGAAAGTTTCCTGCTCCTGTAGAATCTGAGTTTCCAGCTTCTGGCCTCAAAAGATTGTGTCCCAGGAAAGCATCCCACAAGGGGGCCAGGGTCCTTCCTGGGGGTGGAGGAAGAAAAGCATTTCTGGGAAGAAATTTCCCAGAACCCCTCAATCATCCTGCCTCTCCGGCCTAGGGAAAAGGAGGGAGGGAGGAAGCTCCTGCTCCCATAGAGACCTGAAAGTAACACCAAACACACTGTTCAGGCACTGTACAGGGACTTTGGGGGAAAACCAGGCCCTCTTCAGTCCCTCATCAAGCGCAGACAACTGTCCCACTAATCGCTTAGTCTGGAAATTCTTGGATGGAGAGATACCCGTGGAGGAGACGGGTCCAATGAAATGTAAAGTGCCAGGCTTCCTCACATTTCCTGGGCTGGATGCTACCCTTCTTTCCCCTCTGGACCTGATGAATCCCTATTCATCCTTCAAGACTCAGCTCAGTGGCATCTTCTTGAAGGAGCACCCCCAAGACCCTAAAGCAGTTAGTGTCCTTCTTTCACGGCTCCCCAGCGCTCTGCCCTCATTTATGTTAGGGCATTATAATGGTATGGGTACTTGTTCCTCTTCCATAATTGAAGTTAACTGAGGGCTGGGAACTTTGTCATTTCCTTTCTAACATGCAGAACAGGCCAAATCAGGTGCCCAGTGAAGGTTCACTGGATAGATGGATAGATGGATGGAGAGAGAGGGAGAAAGGAGTGTTTAGCAATAGGAGTCTAGATTATGAATGACTGGTTCAAGGAAGGGATAGGTGAATTGAAGCCTGGGTAGGTGGAAGAATGGATGGATAGATAGATTGGTAAAAATATGGATGTGTAGGTAGATAAATGACTCTAGAAGTTGTGTGTGTGGACAAGCACATGTGTGTGTGTTTGTGTATGTGTGATCATAGCCATGGTCTGGGAGAAGATGTCAGAGACTATTTGGAAAATAACAATCACCATAGCATAAAAGTTGCCAGCCTACGAGAGGTGACTATCGATGCTACCTTACCAAAAGAACAGACACTGCAGGAAATGAAGGGCCAGGCTAAATTGTGGGAGCAACCAGAGCTCGTAGTTTTGCAAACAACAAATCAATCAGCTAATCAAGAATGTACAATGTGAAATAGGAAGAAAAGGGCTAAAGGTGTAGGGAAAGTGGGAAGGGTGGGGGAAATGTAATAAGGGAAAAGAAAAAAATATGAGAAAATGGAAATAAAGTGTTTGTAAATGGGGAGGGGAGGAGGAGGTGAAGGGAGGGCAGGGACAAGGGGAAAAAATGAGAACCAAGACCTGTCATGTAAAGGTACAAGATCCCAGTAATGAATGTAACTGTACTGTATACCTAAAATATACCAATAAACTCAATAAAAATAATAAAAAGAATGTACAGACTTCCTCCCATGTATGCAGCTCTTCTGTTAGCAAATACACACCCTATGGAAAAGGGGCTTTTGTTGGTGAGAAAACCTTATTACAGACACAAACGGGTCCAAAAAGTACAGGAGCCTCTTGTAAGCAAACTTAATACTTACAATTTTTAAATTAACTGAAATCACAGGAAAAAGCCAGTTTTCTGACACTGCAATTTGATTAAAAAACACTTTTTAAAGATAAAAATATCAGGATGCCGGGTGTGGTGGTGCATATCTATAATCCTAGCTACTTAGGAGGCTGAGGGAGGAGGACAGCAAGTTGAAGACCAGCCTAGAAAATTCAGAAAGACCCTATCTCAAAAAAATAAATTAAAAAGGATGGGGGAAGTAGCTCAGTGACAAGAGCAGCACGTGGATTAAACCCCAAGTACCTTACGAAAAGACCAATATATAAATATGTATATCCAGACAAGTAATAGCACAGAGACGGCTACAAAGAAAAGATGCTCAACTATTACTTGCGGAGTAACATAAAAGAGTGAAAAGCATTGGATGAGATCGCCTGGTGGTAGGAGGTGGAATTGCAGCCTGACTTTACTACTGTAGACACTTGACCCAGGACTGGCTACTTTCTCGTTAGTGAGGTGAATGAGTGAATCTTTAAAATACTTGTAACTCAAAATAATAGTCCTCACTTTTCAGCTGCCCTGTATGTGATGATCTTCCCTCATAGATGTCATCTCATATAGTCACCACAACAACCTCTATCTTTTGTTGTTTTATAAAGGAAGAAAAACAGTGGTAGAAGGGGAAAGGACAGCCCCAGTTCACACGATAATAAAAGTCAGGACAGAGTTCAAATGCAGGTCTGTCTCTCTCTCTCAAACTGCTCCTTCCCAAGGTCACTGGCCTCTGATGAAGGAATGAGTCTGTGGACCCACTGTCAATGGTGAAAACTGAGGGTGCCTTGGAATGGGTGTATCAGGCTGTCAACACCTAAACTACCAATCAGTCTTAACATCACAGTAAGAGAGGCAGGCCCAGCAGCATTGTGATATTCTTCTGCAAAACAAAACAAAAAACCTGAATTTTAGCAAGTTCTCTAGACCAAGCTTCCAATTTAGCAAATGGGGGGGAGGGAGGAACAAAGGAACATATTATACAATTCCAGCAAAGTACCCAGAGTAAAAAAAAAATGTAGGACTTCTATCAGACAGTTGGGCCAGTTTCTTTTAAAAAAAAAAAAAAAGCCCATTGTTAAGAGAGTTGGGAGACATTGTATCGACAATGTACTACGTGTGGACTTTGAACAAACCAACCTCAATCATTTTTAAAGAATAAATGAGGAAGCCAGGCATGGTAGCGCACACCCGTCATCCCAGCACTTGGAAGGCTGAAACAGGAGACTCACTGCCAGTTCAAGGCCAGCCTGGACTACTTAGTGAGTTCAAGGCCAGTCTGAATGACAAACTAAGTCTCTGTCTCCAAAACAAAACAAAAAAGAAAAGAAAAGAATAAATGAGACAACCGGAGAAATCTAGCAGTGACTATATATGAAATAAGATGAAGGAATTATTTGAGTTGTTAAAAGATTTAATAATGATATTGTGGTTAGCTTTTTAAACATCCACATATTTTAGAGACACAAATTTCTGTTTGCAGATGAATGAAATGGTGTCTGAATTTTCTTTGACCATGTGAGTGAGATGAGGAAGGCCAGGGCCCTAGGGTGAGGTGTGGCTCATACGAAGTGATGGGAACTTGTTTTCTTCATGGGAACTTTTTTAAATCAACTTTCATTTATGTTTAGAAGTTTCCATAAGAAATATCTGTTAATGGTCTGTGAGTTTTGCCATTTCTCTCTGGGCCCCAAAATAAGGAGCCTAATGTATGAGGACAATGTGAAATAATGTCCTGCAAATATGGAGAAAATGTAATGCTTGGGGAAGAGAGAAAAACAGTGACCGATAGCCAAAGGTTTCTAAGCAATCACAGTGCTGTACAAAAAGGGAAGACTTTGAAGTGCACAGGTTCACCCCTACTGAGCATGGCCATGTGATCCTGCATCCTGTCCACGAGCCATACCCCAGGTTGTCACTTTGGGGCCCATTCTTCCAGGTGGACCCCTCCTCTTACTTACAATGGCAGGGATGATCATGAAGGATTGGCCTCACCACACTTTGTTTTACCCCCAACCTTCCCTAAACACCAAGGCTCTGAAAAGTGGGAGGGTGAGCGGACCCCAGGAGCGACCAACACAAGCTACTTACGATGGTGTCGCACCAGAACTCGGCCACCTCCTTGACCCGCATGGATATCAGCAGGGTTTCCCAGACCTCCAGCTTGAACATGTTGCCGATGATAATGTGCATGGGGTGGCCCACCTGCTTGCTGTCGTCTATCACGGTGCGGTCCTGGTCGCATTTCGTGGTGCGGAAGTGAAAGGTCACCTGGTCCCCGAGACAGTAGGTCCTGGTCTATACACACCTCCCAAGGCCCAGCCGAAACCATCCCCGCTGTCACAGACTCCCAGGCTCTCCCTGGTCAGCTCACTCACACGTGAGGAATTGTCAGGCCCCAGAGCACCCCTCCCTGCACTCCCGCAGAGATGAGGAACCAGCTCCCCAGAAGGAAGCGCTTCCTGAAAGAAGATCGGTGTGGCCACCGACACATCCATCAGCCCAGGGAAACCCACCGGATGGACGTGTGGAGGAAAACACCATGACACCCAAGGGACCTTCCTTCTCACTCAACATTTGAGGCTCTAAAAACCATCCTCAAACCCCTCTCTCAGCCACCTCTAAAGTTGAATCGGCAAAATCCCCAAAGTGCCCTGTGAATGGGCACCCACTCAGCCTGCCCCAGGTACCTGGGATGAAGAGCTGCAGAAAGGGCCCACCTGGACGCTTTTCAGCCAATTTGAAGGCTGCCGTGGAGGGGGGAGAGGGAATGAGGGGGGCTTACTCGAGATCCAGTGACGAAGTTCGGAAGGCCCCCGGTGCCCCCGTGCAGAATGGTCTTCTTGACGCCCTCCACGTTCAGCAGCAAAGTGGCGTCCATGCTGCGAGTAGGAGCAGGTGTCCAGCCCAGGCTGAGATAATCTGGCCCAAGCAGAAAGACGCTTAGGCGGCTGAGACAGAAGGGGATTTGCCTTGCATGGAAAAGGGGTGCAGGAAGAAGGTGGGGCAGCTTACCGGTGTCACCGCTGCGACCTCACCTTCGGTTCTACTCACAACCTCTGATTGGAAGCCTCTGCCTGGAACCCACCATCCCAACCCAAATGGAAGGAAGTCAGCTGAGCTTTCTTAAAGAAGCCAGGGATGGGAGGTCAAGCAGGAGAGGCCGGAGTCACCCAAGGAGAAAAAGAGGACAAGCCCGTGGGCTTTCTGGGCCCACAGTGCTGATCCTGGTCCCAGATCTAAGTCCCATTGGACTCCAGGCCCGCTGCCTTTGCCTCTGCCACCCTCCTTTCCCTGTTTCCTCCTCCTTCTTTCCCCAAGATCTGCCCTCAAGAGACTGTGAGGTGTGGCCACAGTGGGGGGTGGGGAGAGCACCTATCCCTTCCCCTGGGCCCTAGGAATCAGGCAGAGTTTCTGGGGGCCATTCTGGGGCCCAAGGACCCCATACAACGTGAAGGCTTGGTGTTTGGCGCCACCTTGTGGCCAGCTCAGAATCTTATGCTTTGGCTCCCCAGAACCTGGAGAAGGTGGAAGATGATGAGATCCACAACATAGTCTCTTCTAAGGGTGAAACTGCCTGGTTAAGAGAAGAGAGGCGGGACCTGCGACAGGGAGACCTAAGGGCTGGACTAGGAGCCACAACCAGCTGTAATGAAAGGGCTGACTCCACATCCCATTCCTAACTTCACTCTGCCGACTCGGATGGGAAAATTCACCTGTCCTGCCTCCCTCTCCAGAAAGCTGAGGGGCCTGGAGAATTCAGTGGAACCCAGAAATCCAACGCTGTGAAAGTCTTAACTCCCATTAGCAGCCTCTGGCTCCAAGGACACCAAACTGGACTAACTGGCTGGAGCCGAGAACCCAGCCTGGGGCTTTGAGAAAACCCCCTGAGAGCTCAGACTCCCGAGGGCAGTCTTCACTCCTCTTAGGGGGCAGGCACCGAGGCTGAAGGTGGAGAGACCCTTTCCCTCTTCATTTCCATCCTTCTCCAGACATACAGCCACCTAGAGGGATCTGTGTGTATAGGCGGGAAATGGAGAGGTAGGAAAACCTCAAGGGAAAGTAACAGCTGTTCCCATCAATGTCTGTGGGGGAGAAGCACACACAGCAGGGCAGCAGGTTGTTTCTGGGTCCTAACAATGTTCTCCATGACTTAGGGCAGTGTTGGCAAACCTATGGCACGCGTGCCGCTCCAGGCTCTCTGTATCATTGAAAGCTCTGAAAGGTTCGCCATTGTTGACCTAGGGGTGGTTACACTGGTGTTTGATTTACAAGGATTCATTATATCAGAGTATGTTTGGGGTGTTCTTCCATCCTGATCAAATTCACAATGGGGACAGAAGGACCTAACCACATTTCATCTCACAGCACTTAGATACGATTGGGTTCTTTTCTATGCACCACTTCCCTTTGCAGAAGGCACACGTGAACTGTGGTGATCAATATTTAAGAGGAGGAAATCGCAGCTGTAGCCTGGGCTTGGGGAAGTCACAGGGCATGCTGGCGAGGAGACGTGGATGCAGAGGACGGGGGCTTCCCCTCACTGCTGACAAAGTCTGCTATCTCCAGAGTGACTCCAGGCAACCCCTGAGCCCCAAGTCAGTCTCCTCAATGACTTTTTCAAATGCAACTGTAATAACCAATTGTCTTCTTCAAATTCAGCAGCCTTCCCGCCACCTCCAGGATGCTTTGTAAACCTCCCTGGCCTATAAGCTTCTATCCCTGACCTCTATCCTGGCCCTGCACTCCTTTTTCCCCCCACTATGTAGCCCAGGCTGGCCTCAAATTCATGCCGATCCTCTTGCTTCAGCCTCTGGAGTGCTGCGATTATAAGCACGCACCACCGTGCCCAGCTTTTGAGCTCTATTTTTCTCAGCCTTTGTCCACTCCTGGAGCCACCCATTGGGTCCGAATATGGCCCCCTAAACAGGAGATGGGGACTTCAACTTGGCCAAGCAGTTTCTTTAAATCGTCATAGAAAATCATCTCAGGACGCATGAGGAGAGACACAGGTGATTTGTTAGGCAGGGTTAGAAAAGTAAGAGAAAATAGGGAGAGGACCTCAGCTTGAGGAGCTCAGAGGGCCAGCGCTCTGAGGAAGTGGAGCAGACTGGTCCCTTAACAAAGGAACAGGACAAAGCTTTTACAGATGTGCTGGGGTGGGCCAGGGTCTAGGTGAGCATGATCTCAGTTCTGGTTGTCTAGAGGCTCCAGGGTGATTATCAGTCAATCCGGTCTCCATGAAATGACTGCTTCTACAGCTTTGTTCTGTTTTCAGTTACCTGCCGGGCATCTGTAGGCCCAACTGAAGATTCCTTTATTTAATAAAAGTAGTTTTCAAGCCCCGACTCCCTCAGGAAACAGAAATCATGTTTTTAATGAGTAAGAGGTTAGGAACCAACCAGGTGTTTGTCCTCTGTTCTTCTGGCCGCCTCTGCCTGAGGGGAATGCAGCAATGCTCCAGACTCCTGACATTATCCTCTTCACTTCTCCCCTAAGGGCCACCTACTTGACATCCAGCCCAGGTGAGGCTCCTCTTCCCCTTACGCCTTCCCAAGTCCCCCATTCTTCCCATTCCTGGCCTTGTACACAGTCATAACTGTTTACAATAATACGCCTCGTGTCTGTTTCTTCCATCAGACTAAGAGTTCCAGAGGGTCAAGGAGACCGGCGAAAGCTTTTGTTGGAAAAGCAGCCCTGGGCAGGGCAGGACTGTAACTCTTCCTCCATCCCCCATCCCAGTGAGGCCAGGGAGGAGCTGGACACCCATTAGAGCAACTGGCTGGGTTTTCCTCCTCACCAGGAACACAGGCCCCAGCACCTGCCTCTCACAGAGCAGCTGCACCTGTCTAGACCCTCCCCACCACCCTGGAGCCACTTTGCATGCAAGGCCAGGGAAAAGGCTTCTCATTCAGAAGAAAATGCTTCTTCCGCCTTCTCTCATTGCCATGGAGACTGCTCTTCATTAACCTGGTCTGCCAGTTAGCATTCTAAGAGGCAGGAGCGTGGAAAGCTGCCAGCAGGGAGGGCTCTTCACGCGTGCGTGTGTGAGTATGTGTGTTCCAGACACTTGACAAGGATGTGTAATCCAAGGTGAAGAATGGAGTGTTTGGAGTCAGACATCCAGGATTTAGATTCCAGCTCTGACATTCTGCCAATCTTGGACGAGATACTTCCCCTGTCTGAATCTCCAGTTTTGTCAACTGTAATGGAAATAAAAATAGTACCCACTTCCTAGTGCTCCCATGAGGATTAGGGGAGGAAAAAAAGAATGCAAAAGCACTCAGCTGAGTGTCTGGCACGTGCTCAGGGCCCAAAAAAACCCAGCTATTATTATGGGTTCCAGTGACATGCGAGACAGTGCAACAGGCACTGGAGAGGCAGCCATGACAAATCTCCCAATTTGGGAGATTTTTATTTTTGTAGCGGGGATCGAACTCAGGTCCCTGTGCTTGCAAAGCAGGCTCTGGAACCACTGAGCTAAATCCCTGACCCAGGAGATTTTGTTTCTAAGTGCTTCACCAACCTTGAGCCTTTCTCACACTCTGAATTTGGTCTTTGTACAATTTTCTTTTCCTCCTGCTATTTTAGTGTATTCAATTCCCTAGGGACAATCACAAGCACAACTGGCATAAACAAGTTTGAGAGCAAGCATTTCTGACTCCAGGTAAACAACCCCACTGAAAGAACAGAATGAACATGTGAGTGAAATTAGTGATTTTCAAACCACAGGCCAGGTGATTTTCAAACAGGCCAGGTGATTTTCAAACCACTCAGTAGTGACCAGAGTTAAAGGAAGCAAAGAGTTGCTCTAACTCTCAGGGGTTTTTCAGTTTTTGTTAGTACATAATGATCACCTTCCTCATGGAGAATTGGTACATGTATACAACACATCTTAAGTCTTTGGTTTTTTGTTTGTTTGTTTTGTTTTTTGGTACTGGGGATTGAACTCAGGACCTTTCACTTGCAAGGCAGGTGGCAGAACCACTGAGCTAAATCCCTGGCCCTTTAAGTCTTTGTTTTTATTCCCCTTCCTCTCCCTCACTCACCCTCCATCTCTTGGTCCTTTTCCTGTATGCAAAAGATCTATCTCTCGATTTTCTTTTATCTGTCGCTTATTTTGCTCTTAATTTACATGATCTCTTATAAGAGAAACCTTGGCATTTTTAAGCTTGTATGATTTATTTTTCTTAACATTATGGTTTCCAGGTGCATCTGTTTTCCTACAAATGACTCATTTATCCTTCTTTATGGCAATACTCTTTTGGCTTTTAATTTGGGGGGTATCAGGGATTGAACTCGGGCTCTTGTGCTTGTGAGGCAGGCAGCAGAACCACTGAGCTAAAACCCCAGGCCATTGATTTTTAAATCTGAGATAGAAAATAAAATCTTAGTCAAGAATGGTTTCAGGAAGATTTTGCTCCCATCCACGTGTGTGTGTGCTAGGTTTCTCATAACGAACACCAGTCCCCTTGAATATGGTGTATCCTGTGCCAAGAAGACCACATAAACACACAAGCACACATTCTTTGCCTGGGTAACTCGTTCTCCAGCTCTCAGCTTTAAATAACATATTTTATGTGGTTCTTTGATGAAGTGGATATTGGTTATTTGAGGCCCTAATATCCCTCTCTTTCCACAGACCCTGTGGGGATTTTATCAACCTTCGTGGCCCATTTCTAGCCCAGTGCATAATAAAGCACAGGCACCCAGCTTATGTAACTTGGAAAGCCTTGAAAGAAGGAGTACAGAGGAGGAGGAGCAGGATTGGGAAGTCCAGAGTGACTGGCTGTGGTGTGTTGGCTTGTGGTGCCTGCAGCACCCAAAAGGCAGCTGGCTGGAGGTGTCAGGTGGACAGTCCAGGCTGGAGGCAGAGGCTGAGGTGAGGGACGGTGTGGCCTGACAGTTAGACACAGGGGCTCTCGTCCCAGACTGACAGAGCTTGACTCCTTGGTCTTGAGTGAGATGTAGACCTAGTCTAACCTCTCTGTGCCTCGTCTTCCTCATCGAGGCATAGGCTGCAATGAGGATCGAATATGCTCATGAATACACATCAAGTGCTTGGGCCACCAGTCCTTGTTGCGTTAAAATGCCACATACAACCTGGGTGGGAGGCGGTGGTCACCAAGGCTAAAGGAGTGGGTGAGACCAGCTAGGCTTGAAGAGGGCTGGAGGCCCATCCCCCAGCCCAGGCAAGGAGGGGTAGGGGGTACTGCTTGAGGTCATGCAAAAGAGCCCGGTAAGTTGGGGACAACTTTATAGCGTGGCCTCTGGGGATGCTTAAGGGAAGCAGGAAGGGTGGGTAAGAACAGACAGGAAGAAGGCAGGGAGGTACGCTGCAGTCTGTCCCCACCTGCAGGATGTATCTTTTGGGGACAGAGTGAGACGTGAGTTTGGGGGACGCAGACAGGGCCGCGCCTTGTCTCAGGAAAGGAGAGAGCCCTGAGGGAAATTTGAAGCAAATCCTGCCTAGGAACAAGGGCTCCGTACCACCCTCCCCTCAAAGCTCTTTCTCACAAAACCGCTCAGAGATAAAAGACAGGCAGTCCTTCTGACAGGGTGGGAGGGGCTAAGGGGCTGGGAGCCTTGAGAAGTTCTTCTCGGTGCTGGGACCCCGCCTCTGGACGATCCAGCCGACCAACCATAGTCCCGTGCAAGCTCCGGGAAGGCGCCCACGCCTACCACCGGAGTGGGCGCCGCGGCCTAGGACCGGAGCACAGGGAGGAGGAGCAGGCTGCACGCCCAGCAAGAAGCTAGACCCGGGTCTCAAGCGATGAATGGGGGCGTCCGGGCCAATCCCAGAGGAGAATTTACAGCCGCCAGAGAAGGGGACCAATCATATGCCAGGCACAGCGGAAGCCGCGAGGATGAAGCCAATCAGTTGTGAGAACAGGGTTGGGGCGGAGCCGCGCGGAGTTTCAAATCGGCTGGGGTCTGCGAAGAGCCTCTGTGTCTGGTCTCTGCGTTGGGCGTTGCCGGGTAAGTGCAGACCGGGGATATAGAGGGGCTTCTATTCGGAAGAGAAACATGGGGTGGGGACTCTAGCTAGGACAGCCAGGCGTATTCCATGCGTCGAAATCCTGGTGTCTGATGCGGTGGTCAGGCACTGGACGAGTGTGTGAATGCGCTGCAGACTGTGGCCTGGATAAGGGCTGAGGCTCGGTGAAATCCTGCCTCCCTTCACCCCCAGACTCCGAAAAGGAGGTTGGGTGAAAAGACAACTGTTTTGGAAACTTGCAGCATGGGAGAGCAGGAATTTGACTCTTCTCCGGGAAGCAGCCTCCTCTGGTACCCACAATCGTCCAAGCGCCCCACCCCACGGGCATTCGCCCCATCTCTTCCCCCGCCCCCACGGCTTCTGTGGAGCCCGGATGGGAGTAGAGGATTCCTTGATGACCTGCCTTTGACCTCCCCAGAGTCTGGCGGGCAGAGGAGACTGGGCCGAACCTATGGCATCTCAGTGGCACGGCATGAGATCCTCCGCACGCCGCCCATCTCTCCTGAGGGAGGAGCAGACGGAAGAGGAGGTGGAGCGGTCTACAGCCAGCCAAGTGGAGCCATCCACCGGGGCCCTGGGCTCCCTGTGTAGACAGTTCCAGCGAAGACTGCCCCTGAGAGCAGTCAGCCTCAACCTCGGGTCGGGGCCCTCCTGGAAACGTCTGCAAACCCCAGAGCTGGAGCAGCAGGGCTTCCAGGCTGCAGCTCGCTCAGCCAAGAATGCCTTGGGTGCCGTGTCCCAGGTGATAATGACAATACCAACCATCTGCGGAGGGTGTCCCTGGTATCCTGGTATTCCTACCTTCAGGGAGACCCTGAGAATACAGACTCCATGATGACTGGGACTTTAGCTTGTTCATTGATGCTTTCCCAGCACCCCAAATAGTTCCTGGCACTTAATAGGCGTTCCATAAATAATTGAGTGTCACTAAGGAAGTTGATGTTTAAGAGAGAGGGTGATGAGAGCTGTATTGTAATAGGCAAGCAAACGGCTAGTGAGGGGACACCAAACTCAAGCTCAGTTGGTCAAACCTTCCTACAGTAGGTGACACGCCAGAGTTCACCCAGGAAACAGGAAGTACAAGGAGTATACAGGACAGGTGAAATTATGTGCACCCAGACTTGGGATAGCACAAAAAATGAAAGGTGTGGAAGAGAAAAGGCAAGAACTTAATATGGGAGTATTCTGTGCGCAAAGCTAGGTGGAGCAGGGAGAGAGAAGATCCAGTGCCCTGAAGTTGTTTAGACTCCCCAGAGCAGCCAGGAACTGAAAGAAACCAGGGCCTTACAAAGCCCAGGCAGGGGTTTACCACTGAGCCACAAGTCTAGCCCTAAAGCTGATCAGATTAGCATGTAAGTATTCTTGCTCTTTAGCTACTTGGTGGGAAAGTGAGGGGAGCAGATGTGCACCTGAGGGTGACTTCAAGAACCGCTCTGAGTTAGATCCAGCAGGGTCTGGGTGTCAAGGATATATGCCCCAGGAAGGCATCGTGTGTGGAGTATGATGTGCCCACCGGTCTTCCAAGCTGATGTGTCTTTAAATTGAGAGATGGAGCTAAGGATAGAGGATGCCTGGAAAGGACAAAGCCATGAGAATGAGTAGACTTGGGGTGGCATCTTCCGAGGAATCCTTAAGATGTAAGGAGAGAGCGCCAGGGATTTAGCTCAGCGGTTCGGTGGCCTCTCTTGCAAGCGCAAGGACCCGAGTTCAATTCCCGGTACCAAAAAAAAAAAAAAAATGTAAGGAGAGAGCTGTTGTTTTAGAACCTTTGTAAAGAAGTCTCCCAGCCAAATGCTAGGCCTTGTCTGGTGGAACGCATGCTTGGTTTCACCACTTTATGGCTCAGAGAAATGAAAGGAAATATCTTGTCCACAGCCACATAACTCATCCTATTTACCTTGCTTCAACCTCTGGACTCTGGTTCGCCAAAAAAGACAGTCTAGCAGGTGAAGAGTCCTTGACACCATACTGGTTTAAGGCCCAAGAGTTAGGTCTTAGTCTTCTGAGAATAAAGAGCCATGGGAGGATTCTGAGAAGTTTAGGGTCAGGATCAAAACATTCCCAAAAGGGCCAGGGATTTAGTTCAGTGGTTCTACCGCCTGCCTCTCAAGCATAAGGTCCTGAGTTCAATCCCTGGTACAAAAAAAAAAAAAAAAAAAAAAAAAAA